ATGTAAGTTATCAGTTGCTCTTTTTTTGTTGATAATTTCTATAAATTATTTAATTCATTACTAATGATAGGGAAAACTGAAGTTGATTCATGTCTTGTACTTAGATATAATTTTTTATTTGAGAGGATATGCAAAATCTTTAGATATCTGATTGTTTCAACTCTCTTCAGCATTAGATTATCTGTAGCAATTTTATTCATTAGCATCTTGTATAATTACTTTTTTTTTTTTGCAATTATGTGACGTAGAGTGTTGCTACACATTAAGTTTCTAGCTGACCATGGAGGTGCCTCAGGGTTCAATCTTGGTGACCTCATAGTGATTCAGCTCACAGTAATGATAAAACTCATGAAGTCAGCTCTGTAAGAGAAAAAGGGCTGCTGCTGAATGCAAATGGATCTTAACATGGAGCAGTTTCCTGTCCAGACTACCGAGTTTGTGTCATTAATCTCAGATGCCTGGACTTTTATATTTATTTCAGCTTTAAATATGCAAGTAGTATCTTTGGTGGGACAGTCTTCTATGTTCTGTTTTCATGATGGTAGTGACTGTTTCTTATTGTGTTTTCCACTGTATTTTTTATGCTTCTGAATTTCCACATACTGTATTCCATGCAGTGTACATGTATGCTGTTATACATACATGTAAATACACACATGTGTGTATACTATATTAGCTGGTACTTCAGAGGTCTTTGTCAAGTTTGGCTTCTAAGCCTTCTAGAATGGGATCAGCAGCTTTGTGAGAGCTTGAATTTTTTCCAAATATTTTTCAAATTTTAATTTTTTTTTCTCAGCTCAGGTGGTCTTACCCTTAAGCATCTAATGTTCTAGAGAATCTAGAGCAGTTACCAGCCCAGTTACCTCAACTGATACCCTGAAGTTCAGAGCAATGTGAACTGTATATTCTTTTCTTTCACATGAGTTCAGAACTCTGTGTGTGTTTTACTTTTGCTCTACATTCTTTCTTTTGCCTAAGAAAAATATTCTTAAGATATTATGGTTTTTAAATTCCACTTAAGGCTTGTAAGATAGTACCCTGAGCTGATTAAATGGTGCTCTTGTTCAATGACCTGGCACTTACTCGGTGGCAATGGTCTCTCAGATTACAAGGACTGCAGGGTACTTTTACTTTTACTTCCTTCACAAATAGTTCTTGTTGCTGTAACCAGTAACAAAGTATAACTCTATATAGCAGATAACAGATAGCATATGCATTTTCTTCAGTGTCTAATAAATAACAGTTGCATAGTTTCTGTTGCATGGTGTCAGGGTTTTTTTCCCCCCAGAAGGAGTGTGCACCCTCTCTCCACTCTGAGTAAGGCATTAATGTACAAGTTATAAAGCAACATCTGATCTTTGATGCTGTGACCTCAGTAGATCTGTTATGTGAGTGGGGATGGGCCATTCTTTGAAGTAACAGTTCAAGATCAAGTTGATACTGATACTAGACATTGCAACCTAATATTTGGAGTATTGCAGAATGTCTTCTAATTTTCCTTCTTGTTTTCTCTGTTCTTAAAATTGCCTGAGCTTCATTGTTCTGCTCAATGAAACAGAAGAATTGGTCTTATGTTGCAGGGACAAGTTTCAACTTTCAGCAGAGCTCAATCTAGTTCAGTAGAGGAAGCTCTAGCTTTATTTGTCTGCTTCAAGACCTGTATGCAGTGGGGTCCAGAAGCAGAGGACAGAGTACATTTTAACTTGAGAACAAACACTGTTGAAATGTTATTTCTCAAGATCTTAGAAGTGCAATTAAAAGCTTACAGAATCATTGCACAGTACCAGCTTGCACAGTTGTTAGTTCCCTTGAGGCCTTCTCGAAGTTCAGGTGTAGTGCAGATGGCAGTCATGTCTCTTACATCATCTGGAGATCCTGCATCAAGGAGAGCTGGATAGACAGTCTGGATAGACAGGCTGCCCTGTTTCCAGGGGACTGAAAATGACAGCTCTGGTCTTTGGGCACTGCTGTCCCTGCATGCAGAGGGAGGCTTGTCTTTGCAGTGGTAGTATTTCTGGATATTTCTTTTCTTCCTGCCTTCAGAGGTGATGATGGTGACTATTATCTCTGTTTTCTCTTTATTTTTATGGGGACTATGATGTCCTGGCCTTTCCATTTCCTATTTTTTTCTGAGTTGATGTGTTATCTCTTGCTGTAGTCCTCAGCTGCATATTCTCTTTAACCATGTTGGTTCAATGCTGATGGGTGTGGACTATAGTAGAATATTAGTAAATGCAGGATTCTTCTATTGTGCCAGTATGCAGTGAGCTAATCACCATTTCCAGCACAGTGATGTCTGTGAAGGTGTGAGAAGCCTTCCACTGTTCTGTCAGTCCTAGTAGTAGTAGTGGTCTCATTGCAACCCTTTAAAATCCTCAGTTTTGGAACAGTTTTGTAACTGCAGAGAGCATCCCTGGTGAAAGGTCTTCAAGAAATGGCCATTCAGGTTCCTGGGAGTGGTGAATAGAATAATTGATATTTTGAGATTTATGCTTCTGAAAGCAGGCTGAAGGAAATGTTGGAATGACAACTTTTATCCTGGAGAAACTGCACATCACCTCTGTTAGAGTGTCAAAGTGCTGCACCTGCTTCAGCAGATGAAGGCAAAGGACTGCTCTAGGGGAGTTATTAGAAAATGGCAGAAACAGGTTCTTCAGCCTGCTTTTTTTGCAGTAGGACTTCAGAGATGGACTGAACACTGCAACTGAGCCTCTTGGAGCAAAACCATTGCCATGTGGCAACATTGGGAGGAGCACTTTCTGGGAATTGTTCATCTTTTCTTACAGCTTTGAAGATTTTTTTTTCCTGTTTTTTAATGAAGGATAATTTTACTTCTTGCTTTATGGGGAGTAATTGCGAGAGAGTTTGTCTCATGTGTCCTGTCATACTTGTGTGTGTTATGCAGCATCCTTTAGCTGTCTTGTGGAATGGCTTTTTTCCTCAGTATAATGTAAAAAGAATGAGATGGGTCTTATTTTGCATTTACCACATGCTTATTTGTGGTGTCATTTTCTCCTTTTATTATTAAAATAATATTCCAGTAACCTTCAAGATTTTTTTAGGATAAGGCCATTAAGCATCCTGAGTGGAAGTAAAAATGGAATTAAGGGAAAAGTACAAAATTACAGCTCACATTGAAACAAGTACATAATAATTCAAACTAGATAGCACTCAGCTTTTTATTGTGTAGCCTCATGAAAGTGGGAAAGGTTTTACTAATATTATTGAATGTGAGTTTATGGTACAGTTTAGATGAATAGATTGAGTTTTAAGGCTTAATCTCATTTTAGGATTGAAGCCAGCACTGCAAATCTTCAGCATGTTACTGGAGAAGCAGCATTTCTCTGGGTTCCACTCTTCCTGTAACTTCCTTAATCCTACCATATTCAGTTCCAAGAATATGGAAGGATTAAGTGACTGTTTTACTTTGTAGAAGGGTGTTTAGTTGAAAAGCCTTCTGCTGACACTCTTAAAGGATGTGAGAGAACCTTTCTGGAGTAGTCCATTGTGGAAGATCCAAATCGGTGGATTTTGAAGTGAAAACTTTCTTCCCACCCTGAGTTCAGCGCTTACTTAGCTGGTGTCCGGAGAAGTTGTGTGTCCTGAATCTCTTCAGTGATGTTCACTCCTTCATTAAAAAATGGATACTGTAGCCCTGGTCTCTTTAGAATAGCCTGTGACGTCTGATGTCCCTGGCAGGAAAGATAGTGTTTTAAAAGTGTCAGTGTTGAGTAACATTTTCAGAACTTGTTAAGAAGAGTAATATGTAATATTAAATAGTAATATTAAACATGTAATATTAAATTTACCTTCTGTGACAGAACATGCCCTCATTGTATAGACACTAACTCAGTTTGTCTTACTTTCTATAACTCCTTTATTGGCACATGAGACCGGCCACCTCTCTGCTGTCTCCTTACTGCTGTGATGTAGCTCAAGCAGGAGTATTTGTTCTGTTTGCAGTCAGGAGCAGTACAGTGAGCTTCATTCAGCTCCTGTGGTGCATATTGACTCACTTGCTACTTGATGCTGCATCCTTAGTTGTGCTTATGAAGCTGCTCAGTAAAGTGGATCAGGGAACTGAACTTGCACATGAATTATCAAGCTTAGTTACTTTATTGTCTTGCTGCTTTTTGGCCTGGATCATTTCATGAGGGCTTTTGCTGAATGGTTTGTAGTCATGTTGATGCAAATGGATGCATAATAGTATGACAGGAATCCAAGATGGAAAAAATGGCAACTGCATAAGGCTTTCTTATAGGAGCTTAGGAAAAAAAATAAAGGTAAACAATAAACCAACCCTGCACAATCCCTTTTTTCAAACAGAGGTTTTCACATCCCTGCTTAGAAAAATGTATGTTAGACAAAATAAATACCCAAAGTGCTATAGATTTTTATAAACATAGAACCTCCTGCTTCCAGATTGTGCAACAAATGACACAACTTTGTAGCAGCTTAGATTTTTTCCATACTTATAAGTTATGTAGCCTTAAGGTAATTTGTACTTGGTACTAATGGAGAGTCTTTAACAATCCTGTGTTAAATGCATGAACAGCTGTTGGAGCTCTGTTTGTCATTCCATACATTCCATTCCTATGTAATCCAAAAAGAGTAAAATCCAAAAATAAAAAGGAGTATTCAGGGTGCTAGGGCTAAGAGATAGTCCAGTTCCACCTTGTCTGTAATCTCCAATCACATAGTTACAGACAGCAATCAGGCTATTTTCAGAGGTGCCCAGTGGTACACTGGAAGATGGTGTATACAGAATAGATGGGCTTCAATTGCTGTTCTGGGATTTTATACCTTTGGGTACACTGATGGCAGCAAGAAAATTGCTTTCCCTTGCTTTTCAAGTTGACTATAGTATGAAATTGGGATGTCTTCTTAGCACTGCTTTTTTAATTCAACTGCTAACTTGATTTTACTGGGGCTGTAGTAAGATGTCAGTGTTCTTTTGGTGTACTACATATCTGACGTGATTTTTTCTTTTTTCCCTTCAGCAAATTTGACAGGCCATGCAGAGAAAGTTGGCATTGAAAACTTTGAGCTCCTGAAAGTTCTTGGAACAGGGGGTAAGATGCACTATTTTTAAGTTAAATGTTGGAAGCATTACTCTTATGTATGATTTTGTTTTCGTGCTGAGGTTTTGGTAATTGGAACATTCTTTAGGAAGATGCCACTTTTGTATTGCATAGCAGATTTTTTTCAATTTTTATTTTCACAGATATGCAAAATTGGAGGTCACATGCTGCAACACAGCGCTTTTTTTGGAAAAAAGAAAACATATGGTTGAAAATTTGTGACAATTTAATATAGTTTGTGAAAAACTTCATCTGTGTTAAGACATGGTTTTGATAATTATGTTGAGTTTACAGACTGTGTTTGGGGGTAAAAAACCCAGTAATTTTGATACATTATTAAATAAGATGCTCCATTTTTTAACTAACCTGTTTTAGGGTTGCTGTTGGCTCCATAACTCTGTCCTAGTCAGATCCTAGTATTTTTTTAAGATTAATAATGTTCATTGTTGTGTTGTGGGTTTCAGCACAATGTTGGAGATTTCGAAGATGTTGTAGGATTACTGACTGTAATGAAAAAAAACTTTGTTTCTGTTTGCTAAAGGGATACAGAGCCCCATATACAGACAAGACTAATGGTTTTATTCTTTTTAGGGTGTTTATGCTTTTTTATTTTTTGGTCAGTATTAAGTTAGATGTATTGTTGAGTAGATGGGGATAATCATGAATGTGGACTGTCATCAAGGTCTGCCAGAGTTTTATGCTGGTTAAATGATATTAAATTTTTGGGTATTATTAGCCATGAATAGCTGGCAGCGAAGCTGTAATTCAGATGGATTCTTTTAGAAATTAATTGAGCAGTTAAATCACTTGAGAGGATATTTTTCTGTTTCTGAAGTAAAGTTTTTAGAGTTTAAATTTAACTGGCTAAAAAGTTGAAACCTTGCTGTTAAATTTAAATAGTTAGATGTAGATACAAGGAAGCATTATTATTCATAGATAAATGTTGCATATTCCTAGGTAGAAGCAATTTTCTGAAATGGTCAGTGTGGATCTGAGAGGGGTTGACAAAAATGAAATTATAAACAATTATGAATTTATGTGAGGGTGTCTTTCTGTCCTGTTGGTGGAAACATGGGCTGGATTTGTAAATTTTTTGAATTTTATTACATTTGCCATTGCTCTGAGATCACGCTAGTGTTACAATTCTTGCATTTGGGGCACAAAGTAAATTTGTGATTTCATAAGGGTCAGTCTTCAAGTTCAGACCAGTAGTGGCCTGACTTCCTCTTGTCTTTAGTCAGTACCTCTGAAATAACCTTACTGTTAAACTGTTGGCAGTCACTCATTGCTACCTCTCATGCCCTCTTTTCTTTGTGAACAGATTGGCCAAATTTTTCTTGGCCTGGAATACTCTTAACCATAGCAGGTAATAGTTAGGCTTGCAGTGCAAAGCTATTCTATTCATTCAGGTTAACAGGATGATTTTTGAGGGACCCCTTTCAGAAAAGGCTACTTCAGTGGGTTGACAAGGGGGTTGACTCTGTGTTTTTGTGTGAAGTAAAAAAAAGAAGTTGAGTAAGCATGCCTGTCTGACTTCATCCTGCTCTAGCAGACTTGCTGCTCCAGAAATGTCTTTTGTCTAAGATAATCTAATCTTTGTCTAATATAAAGGATTCCTCAAGCTTTAGGAATCCAAGGATTCCTTGGGTATCCTGGAATGGCATTTGTAGGAGGAGTAGTTGGTGTTTGTTGTGGTGTTTGGTTTTTTGGTAGGTTTTTTTTTTTTTTCCCCCACTTTTTTGATATGCAGTTTTGCTCATAGCCTGAGGTTTTTTGCTTCAGAAGTCTAGACTGTCAGGGCAGTCGAGAAGCTTTGTTCAGTCTCAAGCCTATGATAGCTAAGACTCAGGCACTAGATGTGTCAGAGGTTGCTGCTTGCTAATTACCGAATTTTATTAAATGCCAGTGACCTGATCAGAATGAAACTAGTTCCTTTTGCTTTTGGTAAGTGACCATCTGTCAGCTGGCAACGTTTGCTGCCACATGGAGTTGCTGAAAACAGGAATCTGAGGAGGTCAGACCTCCAAGAGGTCCCTTAATTGCTTGGGCCAAGACACAGTCAGTTATACCTGCATCACCCCTGGTGGTGATTCATTCTGAAAAGCCTCAGTAGCAGAGATTCTGCAACCTTCCTAAGATGTTTTGCTGATGAAGTTTTATTTCCTAACTTGAGAAACATTCTGGTCATTGCTATAAGCAAATAGAGACAAGCCACCTTTACTCTGGCAGTGAAAGCTTTATCCTGGTGTGAGCTTTTAGGTCACATAACTAATGCTCAATAAAAATGTGATGCTGTTTTAAAATGCTTCACTGTGGAGTTATGCAGCATGCCGTGTTTTCAAACCAATACTTAATTGATCTAATGCAAAGGAGAATGTGTTGAAACCTCACAGTGACATTAAGTGATGACTGTAGATACTGTTGAAGCTAATTGCAATATTTTAAGTACAACATTCTGCCATGAAGCAACTGGAATAACCACAGAAGATACTTAAAACATGTTAAATTAAATGATACTTTGCTTAAGGATATGTAACTGTGGTAGTTTCTTACAGACTCAGAGGTGATTCTTTTCAGGTAACAGCAGTGAAGGTTTATTTAAATCTTCATTTTTAAGCTTTATATTTTAAAAATACAAACATTTAAGATTATTAGTAATAGTATCTGTGTATGCTGAATTTTCTCCCGTGGAAGCCATTTTTTGTCATAACTTTTTTCATGCTGGGGCTTAGCATAATTTCATACTTACTATTTTCTTTATTTGAATTGCTTTCTTACATTCTTTTGTCTGCTTTCTTCTAATATATACACTCAATTGGAAGCATGCTTGTTATATTTTGCTTTTTGGTATAAAATTGTATCATGCATAAAATTGTATCATATATGCTTTCTTCTTTTGACCTGAGTCTCAGTGGGAAGACAAGAAAGCAAAAGTCTGAGTTGGATCCTTTTATGTTGTGTTAGGGGGTAGTAATACAATAAACTGATTCATTGAAGAAATCAGTAGCACTTTACATCAGTAAAATGAAAGACATGACACTGTTAATGAAGCTATTAATAGTGTACTTGTTGCTTTGGGAACAAACTCTTACTGGCTTGACTTCTGACTGGCCCATGTTCTAGTCAGTGTACTGAGTAGTATATTGAAATGGGATAAATCCTTTTCTCTTTCTGTTACTGTTATAGCCTTGCTAATACGGAATTTTCAGATTTGCTGTCCATGTTTGTGTATCCAGCTTGTCCCTCCTATTCAGTTAAAGCTTTTCTCCCTGTGACAGGGAAAACTAGAGTCTATTCTATAGAAGAAGGTTACTTTTCAGCAAAGAAATCTAATTGCTTCCCAAAGCCAGGAAAGGAACAACAGGAGAAGGTGGCTGTGTTGATTTATGCATGCCTACTTGGCTTATTTGCTTCATTCTTTGAAAATGTGTTTTTAAAATAAGAAAAACACTGTAGAGTGCCTTCTGGTTTATACATTTTTCTACCAATGGATTATTCCTTTTTTTTATACTGAACTTAAATAAATGCCACTTTTGTTCACTCTTTCAGCTGTGGTTAAAAAGAAAGAATACAATTGGTTCTTGAGAATGTGCACTTATAATCCATTCTACCTTTTGAACTGCAGTCCACTAATGAAGACTAACAATAATGAGAAACAAGAATCTAACTACCATATATAAGAGAATGTTTTATATGTGCTCTTCTGGATTTAAGTGCTTATGTGGGTAGGATAGTCACCTTATATGTGGAAGATCCCTAGCATCTGAAGGATTTATTCATATGAAGGGAACAAAATTAGTGGGATGAATGTCAGATTTAAATAACCATCTCAAAAATCTTATTATATAAGAAAATATAATGAAGTTTCATCTAAGAGGTCAGAAGGTATTTTGATAAAGTTAAGACTGTGAAATGAAGTTAGTTCTTTCAAAGCATATTGAAGAACATGTAAAATATTCTCTCATAAAATGAGGAAAAAGAAAGAAATGGGGATACTGTGCTCAGAAGAGTGAGACAAATTAGGGAGTGTCTAAAAATAATTCCAAACTCCAATTAAATATTTTACTTCAGTTTCTGCTGAGGACAGCTAGAATGTATACTGAATGGTAGGTGGGATGGCTAATTGGAGACAGGGCTTGGAAATGGAAAATTGGTTTTCTGCATGAAGAACAGACTGAAAAGAGGGGGCTGTGTTCAATCTAAGAACCTGGACAAATTTTTCCTTTTCATACACGAGAGAATTCTGAAAGAATCCGTACATTAAATTGGAGATCAATAGTGAAGGTTCTTATTGGAACTAATGCCAGAGGGAATAGCAAAACCAGCCTTACATTTAAGAAGGAAAGGAGGAAGTAAGATGATGATCTCAGGCAGCTCTTGGTTGTTCTGATTTCATCAAACCTCAGTGGAATGCAGTACCTTTAAAGAAATTTTTGAAGAAAATTATTTACTGTAATTTTTTAATAATTAAAAACTAATGGTATCCATATCCAGTGGTAGATTCTCTTTCATTTGAGAGCTGCCTTCTAAAAACTGACATCCTTTAAAAATAAACAAAGAAAAAGTTAGGCATGTATTGTCTACTATAACTATTTGCTGTAATAAATACTGCAATAAATTTACCTTTAAAAAAAGATAAAAAAGAAACAAAATCAAAATGCTGACATAAAGTACATTTTAAGATGCAACTTACCCTTTCCTGTCACTTTTTCCCCTTCGTATTAATCATCACTCACTTGTTTAATGGAAGAGGAAATTTATTCTTGGAGTAAATAATCATGTTGAAAAAATTCCCTTCATGATTCTTGCCTATCTGATATCTAAGGAGAGGTGATAGAGAATGCCCTGTTTTTAAGAGTTTGGTCATAGACAATAAATTGGAAATATTTAGAATGCTATTATTTGAGGTTTGTTAAGGTTTCTGTTTGGCTTTCCCACCCCCATATTTAGGTGCTAGAGCTATGTGCTTTTCTAACTTTGTCAATCCCAAT